TCAGATTGATTTCATAACATTGCTTTTCGCCTACCTTTGTCTATTTCAATTAATAAAGTGGGATTCAGATTGATTTCATAACATTGCTTTTCGCCTACCTTTGTAATGCAATGAACTCAATTCTCATAGGTGCACAGATTAATAAGATAATGGTACATTCCACGTAAATAGATATTATTAAATATCTTATAATGGTTTCAGATTAATCTTGCGTGAACCTCAACTAATCTCCAAAGTTCAGAGATGCACAGATTAATAACATAATTGTACATTTCACTTAAATAGATATTACACTTTAACCACTATGGGGGTGTTTGGATCATATAATATTTTTTTATCTTAGTAATAACATTACCGGAAAGAAAGATTACATTTTAGATTATCGGGTTTAAATTATTATTATACTTGGTTCAATTGGGATGTATTAATAATTAATGTGTTTGGTTGATAGTAATAACATATGTCCTGAAATACCCTTTTACTAGAATGCCCTTTAGATGATTACTAGATATAAATAATTAAGGGCTTGTTTGTTTTATTATTTCAAACCATATTCTCTATCCTATTCCCAAAATACTTGTTTGTTTAATTATTTGGGAAATACTATTCTAGTTTTTTAATTATTTTTAGACCCCTTAAGTTTAATAACTTAATTAAACACCCCCAGAAAAAAGTTTAAAAATTAACAAAAACAACCCCACCTACCCATAGTTGCCAGATTCCGGCAACCACTGTTAGTGGTGGCTGGAATCTATCACAACGACCTAAAAACGACCGGAAATGGCCTTTTATTCACCGATTTAGCTTTTTCAACCAGATCCGTAGTGGATCTGGTCGGAAAAGGCCAGATCTGGACGTCAGCGATGATCAAAGAAATGGCCGTCGTTGACGGACAACGATGCCCCACTCTTTGGCCATCTCTAACGGCATGATCTAACCTTTTCCGGCTAGATCGACACACCACCGGCCAGATTCGACCAATCTGAGTCATAACGGCAAATTCCGACAGATTCCGGTGGTGGTGGCCAAATCTGGCACTGTGGTGGTGGGAGTGTTTTTGTCATTTTACAAATTGGGTGTTTTGTAATTATTAACAAAGCCAATGATATTTTCGTCCACATTGTCCACTGTTTTGGGGCAAAATTGGATTACCGAAGTAATATTTTAATACCACCCTCCCCCCAGGTAATATTATTCCCGGTGATTTACCCCCTTTTTGGCACTGTTTGTCATCTTATTTTCCGGTAATGTTTTTGTACAAAAATGCAAAACACGGTAATCTGCTCAATTAAACAAATATTACCCTTGTTAAAAAATTTCAACCCGATCCAAACGGGCCCTATAAGATATTTAATAATACTTTGACTTAATTCCTTTCGCACTACATGTTATCATGGTGTTCGGGCCAGCTTACGTGCACCTCAACTAATTCCTAGGGCTTAATGAATACCCTACAAACCCAATAAACTATGTAAATCACAATCATGCATTATGGTAGATAGCCCCAAGATTCGAACCCAAAAAGTCAATAAAGAGAGTACTAGGCCAACCCACGACAAAAATTTCTCTATGTTAGATATTTTATAGTGGGGCTCAAAGTCAAAGTCATCCACCTTACTCGAATCCCATTAGTCATCACCCATTATTATTTAATTTATATGAAATAAGTTTAATATTTACAAATAAGTTTTAAATTTTTACAAATAAGTTTAATATTTTCTAAATAAGGAGATCTTTTTATATGAAAAAAGAAAAAGAAAGAAACCACCACAATTAGAATTTAAAATGTTCCTAAAATGTAAATTATTGCTACAAATTTTGTAGAAGATGTATAAGAATAATAAATTTTCACTTGAGAAATAGGAATCCTATAATTTAAACTTCTTAGATTAAAATTTAAGCAAAATCCCATTAGTCATCACGCATTATTATTTAATTTATTGATGGTGTGTTCAAATTGACTTCATTTTCATCAATTTAATGCTAATATGAAATGGGGATTGATTGCTTGGTTCATTTATCTTCTAAAAGGAAAAAAATATATAGGAAAACCCTTTTTTTTTTGTTTTTCTTTGAATCCAAAAGGAAAAAAAAGAGTACTTGAAGTTTCCTAAAAATAAGAAACGTATCTGTTGTATCCAATTGGAGTTTGTTGGTGGAGGAATTATCTCAAAAAACAAAAAAGAGGGTTTCTAGTTATAGATATTTAGTAAAACCGTTATTAAATTGATATCTAATTCAAAGAGAAAGATATCAAATCTTAGCTACGCCACTTCTAGCTACGAGAAAGCTACAAAACATTGCATTTGTAGCTAAACTATTTAGCTACATAGATTCATACTTTTAGTTACAATGAACGCCATGGCTAAACATACATAATGTTGTAGTGACTGTATTAAAATTGAGATCTGATTCAAAGAGAAAGATATCAAATATATGGGCAAAGAGACTTATATTAGCTCCACTATAATGACATATACATTTAGATATTTATATAATTATGAAGTTAAGCCTACTTGAAAAGTAGTATAAGTAGCCATTGGCCGATAAGGGGTCAACATCTGAAAAAAAATATTAGTCAATTTTTTTTTAAAAATAGATATTATAGTAAAGTGATTTTAAACTAGCTAGTAATTGTTACTTAATGATTTAAAGTTAATACAATCATTTCAAAACTTAAAAAATGCAGTCATTTATTAATAATTTTTTTTTTTTCAACTTCATATTACAGGAAAAGTTAATTATTTATTATACATATGATCTATATGATCCTTCATATATATATATATACACACCACACACTTATAAAAAAAGATATTCTCTTTCATCACTCCTAATATTAAGTTTTCTCTTTCTATCAATTACCTCCTAACAAAGGAAAATAATAATCTATACATGATAAACAACCTTCAATAAATAAGATATGTTATATTATTAACATCATAAAAAATTCTGAAAATTTTCGATGTGTATATGTAAAATAAATTATTGTGTTTAAAAAATTATAAAATACATAAATCTTCATATAAACGTCTATTGTTTAATGTTATAAGTGTTTATGGATTACTGTTACGTTCACGTCATTGTCATAATTATTTTTGTATCAATACAAAGAAACATATAATTAATAAGACTAGAAATAGTTTTTCATCAAAAATTGTAGGCATGTGATAACTAGTAGATAAATCCATTGGAAATCAGCTTTTTAGATGCATTTCTTAGAAATTAAGGAGGATTGGAGTAATGTACCATCTGTATATCTTGAGTTTTTTTTTTTTTTTTTTTTTTTAAATTGAGATGTCCGAACCAGTTTACGCATATTTTAACTAATCATCAGAAGGAGCTATCTCATAATAACCCATCGCCATAGCCCATCAAGTAAATATAGGCAAAGGTATTGCCTTTGTACTCAACAGAAAATCGAACCTGAGACTGTGGGTTCTACCCATTTAAATCTTTTGATTGCCTTTACCGTTGGGTTACCTTGGGTGGGTTAGCTTGAATCTTTGCTATGGGTTGTGAGATAGAATTCTTCGGGGAAATGATCAAAGTAACATTAATTAACTTCGAATGAGAACTAAAATGTTGACATTAATTGTTTAGAGATAATACATTTCAGTTGATTTTCAATTTAAATGATATAATTATACTTATTATTCGTTTCAAATAACCAGGGACAAATAAAAAGATGCACATTTGATTGAGTTGATATTTAAGGTCAACAAGGAACGTATACAGATTAGTGGCGGAGCCCATTCATGTCTAGGGTGGAAATCGGCAAATATCACTTACCTCCCCAACTTTTACCAATCTACTTAAGTGCAGAAACAAATTAAATGAAATTTTAATTTATAAATAAGAGCTATAGTATGGAAACTAATTACTCAATCCAATAATTAAGCCCAAAAACAAACTAAATTTACTTAAAAGGTTTCTCACATAAGTTGATGGAGTGGTTGAAAAAGGGACAATTATATCCTCTAATGGCCAGCGTAATTTTAACATTACAAAAAACAAAAAACTTGTAATTGCAACAATCAATAAAATTGTTGATCAATTAATATTGATTTTGTCATATAATTAATTAACCTCTATTTTTTTTTTAAGGCAATATTAAAGTGTATGATAAAAAGTAAATTATTTTTCGGGAAAAAAAGACTCACCCGAGTCTTCTAAGGAAAATATGAAATGTAAACCCCAAAGGGTTGGTTTGATAGTTAAGAATGTTTGCTTCTTTCATTAATTTTTTAGGTTCGAATCTTAGGGTCATCTAATCTATCACATTTATGACTTACTTGGGAACATTGGACTTGTAGGGTATTCAATGAGTGTTGAAAATTAGTTAAAGTACACACAAGCTGGCCTAAACACCCCGATAATAAAAAAAAAAGTATTACTCGGAAGGCAGCTTCCACTTCATGAGTTTCTATATTCATGTAGTTGATGGAGTGGGTTGGTGGATCTCATTATTGTATTGTGATTTGTGAAGACAAGCATTTCTCCTTCAGTGGGTTGGTGGACACATTCAAGTTGGATATGAAAACGATCTGTTCTTGTTCTAGTCAACTGTTTGAGAGTGTAAGGAAATCAGGAATTGGAAACTAACGGCTTCAATTGACAGATTAACGGTAAAAGAAATCAGAGAAGAGAGGAGTTAAAAGAAGCACACATCTGTTAAGTCCATCAAACGGCATCGTTTCACTTACAGAAATTATGGTTTGAAGAAGCAGCACAAGGATTAAACAGTGAGGTTTTACTCTCTTATTCCTCTTCTTCCACAGTTATCATCAAATAAAACTGATAATTGATCCAACGTACAAGATTAGATAAAATTGTGTTTGTTTAGAGCTTGATTAGATGGCTGAGATTGATTTTCACAAGGATTGCCATCCTGCATTTGTAATGTAGTATATAACTCAGTTTATATTGATTAAGGAAGTATTCAATAAAATTCTCAAGTTCATAAGTCAATTCTCTGCAATTTCTGGCTTTCTCATCTCATGGAGATAAATCTTTCTCTCTACATTTTCTTAGCTTTCTTACTTCATCTTTCGACACTTTCCTTCGTTAATGCACAAGTGACCGACATTTCCACAGACAAACAAGCTCTTCTTGCCCTGAAAGCTCGTATAAGCCATGATCCTAGCAATTTATTGGCCAGTAATTGGTCCAGAAGAGCTTCTGTTTGTGATTGGATTGGCATCACTTGTGGTGTCCGCCACCATAGAGTCACAGCTTTGAATATTTCTTATTTGAATCTTACAGCAACCCTTCCTCCTCAATTAGGAAATTTATCTTTCCTTGCAATTCTAAGCATTAACAACAACAGCTTTTATGGCTCTATCCCGGATGAGTTGGCTAACTTACGTCGACTCAAATATCTTCAATTCAGTTTCAATAACTTCATCAATTTAAAGATCCCATCATGGTTCGGGTCCTTAACCAAACTTCAACACTTGGGATTGAATGAAGTGAAATTTTCAGGGACTATCCCTCAGTCCCTTGGCAACTTGTCTTCACTTCAACAACTTTTTCTTGATTATAATGAGCTTTCGGGCTCCATTCCCACTTCCATTTTCAACATATCTTCACTGCAAATACTTAGTCTATACCAAAACCAACTCTCGGGATCCTTCCCTTCCATCCCTTTCAACATGACTTCGTTAATATATATTGACTTCGGTGATAATGGATTATCTGGTGCAGTTTCTGCAAGTTTTTTTGATTATCTTCCTAATTTGGAAAGGCTTTTTTTGGATAAAAACTTCCTCAGTAGCGAAATACCATCCACTCTATCAACATGCGAGGGTTTGCAATACTTATTCTTGGATATGAATAATTTCACAGGATCCATTCCGAAAGAAATCGGAAACTTGACTCAACTTAAGATACTATGGCTTGGATACAATAAACTCCAAGGTATGATATATGCAGCCTTGTTTATATATAGCTGTTTTTACAAATTTTCTTTCTAAAAATTTAANGTAGTTTTATGGTAACCAATTCGGAGAGCATATTCCAAGAGAAATTGGAAACTTAACATTAATCGAGTTCCTAAGTCTTGCCGAGAACAAATTGATAGGTACACCTTACTTTCGGTTATAATAGATTATCTGATGGACTACTCCCTGAAAGCATTTTTGATAATCTGCCCAATCCTCCCATCCTCGTTATCAAATTGTAAAAATTTGCAAGGCTTATCCCTGTCTTTCAACTGTTTCATAAGAACCATTCCAAAAGAAATTGGAAACTTGACTCAGCTTAAAGAGATATATCTTGGATACAATAAACTCCAAGGTATTTTATATGAAACTTTGTTTATAAATGTTTTTACAAATTTTCCTTTTAGAAATTTTATGAACAATACAATTGCTTATTTATATTGATTTTGTCGGAGAAATTCCGAAAGAAATTGGAAAGTTGACATTAATCAAGTACCTATTTATTGACAACAACAAATTGATAGGTACAAGATAAACCCCTCTCAATTTGTTTTTATATAATAGAATAATTTCATTTTGTCGTAATCCAATTCAGTAATTGAACTACTCCTTCACTTATTTCAACATTTCTTTTTAATTCACACGAAATTTGTGGATAATAGCCTTCCGAGCAAAAGGTGTCAACTTCTGCCTAATTTTGAAGGCATATATGTATATATCTCTCCTAACCAACTCACAAATCCAATTCCATATAGTTTGAACAATAACGAAAGATATTCCAAGAGAATTGGGAACTTGACATTAATCGATGAATTCATCGTCGCTTGAACAAATTGTATGTTATTATTTAAGAATCTCTTCTTGTTGTAAACTAAATCACTAATTGAACTCTTATTTTTCAGGTGAGATACCATATGAAATTGGTAATCTTCGTAATCTTGAGATTTTAAATCTTGATTCTAACAACCTTGTGGGTCCTGTCCTAGCTGCTATTTTCAACATCTCAACAATAAAGGCCCTTTCACTCATGTCCAATAAGCTTTCGAGAATTCCTCCATCAACCGCAGAGTTTCCAAATCTTGAGGAGCTTTACTTGGGATTTAATAATTTCACTGGGCCATTTCCTAGTTTCATTACCAATGCTTCCAAGCTCTCTATTATAGTCTTAGTATACAACTCATTCTCAGGCTTCATCCCAGAAACAATTGGTAACTTAAAAAATCTTGAGCGGCTTTACTTATCTTTTAATTACTTGACATCTTCTACTCCAGATTTGAGTTTAATTTCTCGTTTGACAAATTGCCAGAATTTAAGGCAGCTACATTTAGAAGGAAATCCTCTGAATAGCATCCTTCCAAGTTCCATAGGCAATCTTTCTGTTTCTTTGGAAAGTTTATACATGGGTGAATGCAACATTAGTGGAAACATTCCCAAAGAAATTGAAAACTTAAGCAACTTGATAGAAATACGACTATATGACAATGAACTGACTGGATCAGTTCCAGTTGCACTTGGTGGACTACAGAAACTCCAAGGTTTGAATCTTGAACATAATAAATTGGAAGGATTGATCCCAAGTAGTCTTTGTCAATTGAATGAATTGTTTGAGTTGCAATTGAGTGATAACAAGATTTATGGATCCATACCTGCATGCTTAGGTAATATCACTACACTTAGAAAATTGTCGTTAGGTTTCAACAAATTAACTTCTTTTATACCCTCAACTTTGTGGAACCTTAAGGATATCTTGTACTTGAATTTGTCATCAAATTCTTTGAATGGATCTCTTCCATTGGAGATTGGAAATCTTAAGGTTGCGATAAACATAGATTTGTCAAGGAATATTCTTTCAGGAAATATTCCAATTGTTATTGGCAGCCTAGAAAATCTACAGAACCTTTCCTTAGCATTCAATAGATTACAAGGCTCAATTCCTGAAACATTTGGTAACTTAACAAGCTTGGAATTCTTGGATTTGTCAAGTAACAATCTTTCTGGATTGATTCCCAAGTCTTTGGAGGTACTCTTTTACCTCAAATATCTAAATTTATCTTTCAACCAACTAAGCGGTGAAATTCCTAAAGGAGGACGCTTTGAAAATTTCTCAATTGAATCATTTATGGGGAACCTTGCATTATGTGGTTCTTCTCGACTGCATGTTCCACTATGCAAAATTAGAACACATGGAAAGTCAAGTTCAAGAAAAGTTATGTTGTTCATTGCTTTGCCGCTAAGCATTACATTCACATTGGTTGTCTTTGTTCTTATGTTTGTGTTGATGAAATGCCGAAAAAAGAGAACAAGGCCACCTACACATGTTGAGATGTATCCACAACGTACATGGAGAAGAATTTCTTACCATGAACTTGTGAGAGCAACAAATGGATTCAGTGAGAACAACCTGCTTGGGAGAGGAAGTTATGGTTCAGTTTTCAGAGGAAGATTACATGATGGGATGGAGCTTGCAGTAAAGGTATTCCACTTGCATTTTGGAGAAGCGCTTACAAGCTTTGAAGCTGAATGTGCAGTATTGAGTAATATTCGTCATCGAAATCTTGTCAAAATCATCAGCAGCTCTTCAAATGATGATTTTAAATCTTTGATACTAGAGTACATGCCTAACGGGAGCCTTGAGAAGTGCTTGTATTCTGACAACAATGTTTTGGACATTTCACAAAGATTGAACATAATGATTGATGTTGCATCAGCTTTGGAATATCTCCATTTTGGTTATTTAGTCCCCATTATTCATTGTGACTTAAAGCCTAGCAACGTTTTGCTAGACGAAAATATGGTTGCACATTTGAGTGATTTTGGTATTGCAAAGCCTTTAGGTGAAGAAGGCTCTATGACACAAACACAGACCCTTGCCACCATTGGTTATATGGCTCCAGGTAACTGTTTCTAGTTCAGTATGTTTTATTTTTTATTTTTTCCATTAAATTTTCTTTGTTTCCTAGTAACTATGAAAGTGCATGTGATCTCTATTAGAATATGGAAGAGAAGGAAAAATATCTAGACAAGGGGATGTATACAGCTATGGTATTATGCTAATGGAAACCTTTACAAGGAAGAAACCAACAGACGAAATATTTATTGAAGGAATGAGCTTAAGGAGCTGGGTTGGTGAATCATCATGTAGAACAATAATGGAAGTTGTGGACACAAATTTGCTAAGAAGGGATGATGAACATTTCTCTAGAAAGGAGGAATGTGTATCATCTATCTTGAGTTTGGCTATAGAGTGCACAAGAGAATCAACTCTGGAGAGGATCAACATAAAAGAAGCAATAACAAGACTATTGAAAATTAGAGTCGAATTTGCGAAAATTGGAACCAAAAGAGGCAGAAGAATTTGAAATTTAGGTTAATTTTCTTCTCATTTCATTAAGTTTTAAATACAGGTGATAACTTTCTTTAGCCTTTGTTATGTTATTTAACTATTGCCTGATTGCTTTTGATCGCAGAGAGAAGTAAGTGAGATTGCTAGCCAAACCAGCCATGAATAGAATAATGGTCTGAGTTTCAGAGACGATTTACGTGTGAAGATAAAGAACCCTTCTTTCATAGAAGTTTTAGACAAGTTCATATTTTAATTTGTTAAAACGTTTGTGTAGTAAACATAAAGTCTTGGGGGACTGTAAATTTTTCCCATATTTAATAGAGATGAACCATAACTGTTTTTATTTTTATTTTTTCGCTAATATTTATATTTAACTTGTATTTTAATAAAGTTTGAAACCAATTATTTAGTTTATCATACTCAAGAATTCAAAAAACTTTAAACTAATTTGAATCCGATTCATCATATTTAATGAAATTTTAATCAATTTATTTGAGATTACATATTTCAACAAAGAGAAAAGCTTTACAATTTGATATAGAAGCAAGTCATTCCTCTAAATCTTAGAATCTCAATTTTCTCGTACAAGAAAAACATTTTGCATGTTTTTTAACTTTTTTATTCTGTCTGAACCATGTGGTGCCCTCTGAACACTTTTGATATCATAGGCATCGAATTGACAGAGTTTACCAAGTGGCTTTGCTTGTTTGACCTCCAGATCTCTGACATGGTGGCCATTCTCCTGAGGAAGCGTTGACCAATATCACAATTTGAATTATTTTGTAAAGACCAATCCATGGCATTGCCATCTGCATGATGCAAATCCAGCTTACTTAAAGGATTCATTGTGCTCACCGTAGCCACTAACTCATTAGAATTGCGATCTTCTGATTCCAAATGATCATCACAGGCCAGAGCCTCCTGCACACAGGGCAAATTTGGCTCTTGTACCAGTCCTGGAGTAGATGGTGCTTCAGCATACTCAACAGATTCCGCATGGACACCCGAGTCTTTCAAGCTGGTCACAATGGAAAGAGGTAGTAACTATGAGACCAAATCTAGAACACAAATCATCCTCACAATATTCAAATAAGCAAGATACTAAATAACAAATACAGAAACAACCTAAGACATAATATTATGGAAATATTAAAATTAACCTGATTTGCATTGTCATTCATTGTTGCGGCTTCTGAAGTTTCATTTATCTGCTCAGTAATATTATCTTGTTCCCAAGGTGCCAATGGTTTGACAGATCCCTGAGGATCAGCACTGTAGGGGATAAAGTTACATCAGAATTGTTCCATATAATTTTATAGATAAATCAGCATCCCCACAATACTGATAAATCAGTCCAAATGGGCAGCTATCCATATGGTTCCTAAAGGCCCTTTCTTGGCCAAAATAAACTGTGAGTAAAACATTTCTCACCCCAAACTCAAAAAAAACCCCTAGCTTTCATACACCAAATAATAACCTTTATTATAAATTATAAACCCAAAACGCAAGCTTCCAGCTAAAAACACTGTATTACTTCAGCCAGCTTAAGAAAACCCCCAAATTCTACCACGAATACTAACCTTTAAGCTTCAATTTTCTGAAAAACCAAAGATAAACACTAGACATTCACCACATAAACTGAACTCCCAAAAAAACCCTAAATTTCAACTCCTAGTCAAAACGCGAAATTCAAATTAAACCCAACAAAACTCACCCAAATTAACAACCAACCCGGAACCCTATCTTCAAATACAACACAATTCCCTACTACTATCCTCCAAAAACCCTAATTACAAAACCCAAATTCGACAAACACCCCATACGAGCTAAAAAAACGAAACCCTAATTACTCATCTCATACACCACCACTCTCTTCGAATTTCTCAGCAATTAACCAAACCAGCTCCATTTCCAACGAAATTCACCGAAACTTGCCACCCGCAGCAGATCGAATCGTGTTGAACTGAAATGAGCAGAGCTTTGAAGTAAAAACCCTAGATTTAGGCCCTCAAACGACGTCTTGTAAAGCTTATACCTTTGAGCTGAGTGAGAGATGGGGAGGGACGGAGGGGAGTTGAATTGATTTGAATTTTCAGAGAATAATCTAAATAGAGAGAGAAGAGGAAGAGAAGCGCCTTAAGTTTTTGTTTTTGTTTTTTTGTTTTTGTTTTCAGATTTTAGAATTTTTTTTGTTTTCATGTTCGTGTGTAGTTAAGGTGTGTGATTGCCTTAGTTGTCACTGTTTCATACTTTCATATGTGGGTAGTCCAGACAATTAGGACAAATAGAAGATAGTATAGATAGCCGCATAGTCTCAAGTTTAATTCCCAATTTGAGCATCTATGATTTGAGTGAGGAGATTATGACTGTGGGTTGCTACGCTAGTCTGTCACGACTGGAGGTTATCCTTTATCTCACCACTTCGGCTCAAGGGCTTTCCCCGTGACATGTCCAAGGTATTGTCCACTATGGGTCGTTTTTGGCCACGTCTCCTTTGGACCCTCACGACTTTGCTTCATTTCATAGTCTTTTTTCCACCTTGCGAATGCCTTTCCCATTACTTGAACCTTGGACTAATACCTTGGGCAAGTCACATAAGTACCATTGGGCTAGCCTCAAGTCATGGGGGAGGCATTCGCAAGGTAGAAAAAAGACCATGAAGCGAAGTAAAGCCGTGAGGGTCCGAAGGAGGCGTGGCCAAAAGGAACCATAACGGACAATACATTGGACGTGTCTGACGCGAGAGGAAAGCCCTTGAGCCAAAGTGACGAAATAGAGGATAGCCCCCGGTCGTGACATAGTCTTCCTTGAAAATTAGTCAAAATGCGTATAAGTAAAAATAAATAAATAAGAGTTTATGTTAAATGATTGATAGAAAACAAAAAATACTAAGCAAGAATCTCGCTATAACTTGAATAAATATTTTGAACAAAATTCAACAAATTAAAAAATATAATTTACTAATTTATATAACTCTAAGTCATAAGTTAAAAATTTAAATTGAAATCTTAATAACCACAAAGTATAAAATTCTCGAGGCTCACAATATGCAACCCTATTGCAGTGTTTCTTTATTTAAATGAAAAAAAAAATTAAAGAAAATTATTGTACCTTGAATTATTCTTCATTTGGATGTGAAATTAAGGGTAAACTAAAATACAAATAAAAAATTTTAGTTGTATTTCAATATTTTTAATATTTGAAAATGTGTTTGATATAATAGTCAAAAATTGTTTTTATATTAAAACTATAGAAAATCATGAAAATGGTTTTTGATCGTTTTTCTAGTTTTACATTAATTTGTAAGATTGTATTCAAAAAAACCATTTTAAAAAACATTTCTACTCATTTTTACCAACACTATTTCATAATTTTTTTTGGAGAAATCTACTTAATAAACCCTTTTTTAAAGATCAAAATGAAAAATAATAAACTTTTAATTAGAAATCATTTTTAAAGATTTTTGGACAATAATACTCATATAGTTCACTCGTGCATGAAGAAACTTATAATAAAATGCAGAAGAAAATGGAGAGGCTAGAAATAGGGTGTTCAAAAAAATACAAAAACCGAACCGAACCAAAAAAACGGTTCGAAAAATTCAAAAAACTGAATTTCTGGTTCGAGAAAAAAAAAAAACGGTTAACTGAAACTGGTTTTTTGAACCGGTTTTACAATATATTATATATTAAATAAAAATAAATATTAGAAATTAAATAAAAAAATACTAATATAATGTATTATATATTAAATAAAAAATAATAATATTATATATTATATATTAAATAAAAATTATAATATTTTTAATGTATTGTTATTAGCGGTCAATGGATATGTATAAATGTTTAATTTTTATTTGGATATGTATTATTTATATTTACAATTTAATTTAGGAAAAAATAAAAAAAATAAGTTTTATAAAAAAAAAAAAGAAAATCGGTTCAAAAACGGTTAACCGCTTTTTTTTAAAACAGTTAACTGGTTTTTCGGTTATTCAAAAAATTAGTTTTCCTTCTAAATCGGTTTAGTTTCGGTTCGAGAATTTTTCCGAATTGAAAAACCAATTCGGTTCAAAAATACGGTTAACCGAACACCTCTTACTAGAAATCGGAGAAGGAAGAGAAGAAAGAAGTTATGATAAGGGCAGTTTTGTCTAAAAATCTGATGAGAGATCTACCTACTAATGTAGTTACACGTGGATTAGTTTGTACTTTAGACAAAAGAAGTCATGTACTTATGTCTAAAAATCTGATGAGAGATCTTTCCTACTAACGTAGTTACACGTGGATTAGCTTCCATTTTGATCCTTAAAAAAAGATCCCGTTATCATCACCCCATTATTATTGAATTTATTTGATGGTGTGTACATATTGACTCCATTTTCGTCAATTTATTGAAAAAGTTTTTTGAGGTCTTCCAATATCATTATTTTTTTCTTTTTTTTTTGTTCTTTTGGTATCTAATGACATCTGGGCCAGTTTATTCGCACATCAACTAGTTCTTCAGGACCTTAAAGTTAATAGTGTTAATAATATTTAATGACTACCCCTTATTAATAGTCGTAGTTTACACGTCAGTATTGCTGCAGGCCTCCATCGGAGTTTCCTTTGGCTTTGCCCCGCTCATGCATAATTCACCACCTTTCGGGTCCCAATAGACATGCTCACACTTGAATCCTTCATAAAAGATCAAGGTCAGTCGATAGTGCAACCTGTGAGGGATCCTGCCAATCAGCTTCCTTATGGGTTTACTAGCCCATTGACTCTTATACATGTTAGACTCCTTAGTCTGTGTTTCAAGACGGGACAAATGGGGAGCTCACAGGTGTCGTAGCATGCCTTGGGGTGCGTGCTGCTAGTCACGATGCGACAACGACGTCTCTGTAAGCGTATCATCGACACGTGCTTCAAACTCAGGACTTCTTGAGTAATACACCCAAGAGTCTCAAATGAACCGCCAAACTACATAGAGGTAATTACCAATATCACTAGATTGATTGCTTAGTTCATATATCTTGTAAAAGGGAAAAAAATATTTCAGACAACTTTTTTTTCTGAATCTGAAGCGGAAGAAGATATCTGAATTCCTAATAAATAAAAATGTATCATCATTGTATCGAATTGGGGTTTGCGGTGGTGAAGGAACTAGTTCATAGAAAAAAAAAAAAAAAATTTAATTTGTACACATTGATCCTTCATATATATATATATATTCATATAAAAATTTATTTTAAATCTTTAAAATAAATTTCTGATTTCGTCACTGCATTCGTAATCGTATTGCATGTTGAATGAAACTTTTTGTAATGTGGAGACTCCATCCTGTTATTTAATTAGGCCCAACCCTTTTTAGAGCAACCTCATACTGTTCATGATATTGAGCTCTCTTGTAATCCTTGTGAATTTCCTTTTTTGGGCTTTCTTGGGATTTTCAGAGTTGAGCCCAGATAGCCCATTTCCCCTTATTACTCATGTTGGACATTTGGGAATAATGATCAAAGCCCACCACTATTGGCCCATGGCTTTCTGTGATATAGAAATTTGAAAAGGCCGTCTAAATCCACGCATTTATCGGATCGTTTACAGTAGCAAGATAACGTTACCCCTAGTGTTATAGATGGAGCTACCAAAGGACAAGGAGGGGCAATTGAAAAAATCATTAACGGTAATTTGTATACATCTATATATATAAAAGGATATAAGATATGTATTGATGGTCATACAATATTTTAAGTACAAATTTATTAAATAAGACACCATTGATTGCTGTTAGTAATTGATACTCGAATCTTAGTTGTACACAGCAAGAGCAATTATATAGTGCTCCATCATACTCTATTGCTGTAGTAACCTGGTGGACTCCTGGAATTTACCCAGGAATTGTATTAGGACTACCTAAGGCTCTTGGCTTATGGGTGGTTTATTAGATGGAGTTGAGTGGCTATCATGGTGCATATCCAAATATAAGACACCATCCTATGTTTGGCAATGCAGCAGAAGGCATTTGAACCTATGTGGGTGCTGGATCAGTTTGGCAAAGGTTGTAAGAATGGGTTATCGGTTCAGGCTTGCTTAATCTGTGGAGAACAAATTTTATGTGCTGTAACATGGGTAGAAACAGTAAAGTTTGTGGAGGGAAAATCTGCAGTTTTCGAATGAGCGAGCTTGTTTTAGATGCATGGATAGTCCTCAGTGTTGAAGTTATCGACCACTTCAACATTAATGGGTTATGCAGACGCATTCAGGGGTCTTGCTAATAGTTTGGGCCTTTTCCATAAAGAGTCTCTGAAAGATTTCCTTTAAGTTATTAATTTTTATTGGGTTTAGGCTTAGGAATAG